CCCCCACCCTTGTTCGAGCGTCTATCCCAATTTTGGGTAAATACAAAGTGAAAATCCCAGGAACGAAAATGAATATTTACAAAAGGGCGGCGATACGACATGCCTTTTTTGTCCCAGTCTCCATGGGTCACCATGTCGGATCAATGAGGCGCGTAAGAGAATATACATATGGAGGTTGCAATAGTAAGGTTATGTTATCGATTTTCTTTTATACTTTGCCGTTTCTATAACGGCACATTATCTACTGTACATACGCGGTACATGTGTATACATATATGACATAATCCGATTATATACGTTTATACATGTCCTTTATGCATGAATATAGATATACATGACTAGAGTTGCTTTGAAACCCATTTACGGTCACGGTGATCACGGTAAGAGAGACACAAGTAATTTGGACAGGAATATTCCTCATTGTCATTTTGGCGCGCTTTTATAAATATACTTAGTTTCTCAAATACTCTCATTGCTACTTCCTGTGTTTTTACGTAGATAGATCGTGTCTCCTTGGAACGTCTCTGTTTTTCTTTTTCAACGCAAAGGATATGTAACGAGATTTTGTTTTGTTCAAGAAAGGAAAATTGGTTATGCGATAATATCACGCGTTTAACGGATCATCCTTTGAAGCTCAGGAATATAAATAACTGCCGCCAATTCGCTTACCCTGCTGAAAAATTGTTCAAGCGTAAAAGCAGCGAGAAGGACGTAAATGAGTTTAACTTGTAAACATCCAGTACTCAATATCGATCTTGCCACTTGAAGGTACTAAAGAAAAATGCAAGTTCCTTCGAGTGAACGTACAATAGAATGAAGAAGAGACGCTTGACGGAGACACCCTTATTGTTAGACATTCTTCGCGACGGATATGTTTCTTTGTTCCCACAAGCTTTATTGTCTTCACACGCGGTATTGATGAAGACGCGAATAACATAATTCGACTGTTCCCACTTTATCATAGAGATTTCGTTGAATTTATGTAAATTTGTATCACGCAACCGTTTACATCGTTGTACGTTTAAATTATATTGTTTTTACAGTCGAAGCTGTGATGGCGCTGGTGGTAACGGGAGTAGTCGGTATCACATTGAAAATCGTAGACTAAGGAAAATTTTGAAAAAATTGGTCTCAAACTCGTCGATCCACGTCATTAAACTGACACACAGTCATACGAGGAGTTCCTTGAGGACATCCTCGCCAAGCAAGTTCTACAAATAATCATCGACTCGTTCGATCTCATCGGGTGGACTAGGTTCGGAGATGCTGAGTATCGGCAGGCCGAAGTGCTGTGCGTCGATACTGGAGTCTTTTGTGCATCTGGCGTAATCGCAACTCTTCGAGTGATAATCCGTATCCGGCCGATGACGTTGATGATGATGAGCGTGATAACGAGACAGTCGGGGGCAGTCCGGGTCGCATGATTTCCGGCAGAACCTGGAAGACATCGGTATCGTTAGGAGATGGGGTTGTCGGATTTCTATTTGATTGGAATTTATATAAATGGGTATAGAGACTTGAACCAACTGGAACCAGCTGTATGGCGTAATTATGCATGAATTTATGTTTTGGCGCGTTTTGGTATATTTTTTATGTTTATAGTACATTGCACGAAGGGTTATTGGGATATGTGATATATTTTCCAGTATTATATATACTGTGTTGGTCGTTATATTCCCGTCAGAATATTCTATTTCTTTTCGCCATTAGAGAACGATAATCTTGAATGCATTTGGCACCTGGCCAGTTTTTTATGCAAATTTTCAGCTTGTCTTGCAATTCTTGTAGAATATGTACCAACTGGTATATAATATACAATACCTGTATAAAATATGCATTTGGAAGAAGTAATTTTCACCGAGGAGGAATATTGTTGTGGTAAAAATAAGTTTGAGAAAGGAGAGATTTTACAGTCAGTAATTTTAATAAAGGACGGCTGTATTAATGAGTAACTGGGTGCTTCTGAAATATTCGTTAAAACTTGAAAGAAATGATCGCATATTTTTTTTTGGAAGATTTCAAAAAATTCCCTTCCAATTCAATGAATCTTATAGAAAATTATTTGTGCAATCTTTGTCAAATGGTCGATACAAATTTTACTAGTTCGAGAGCTAAATGGCGTTATGTTTGTATTATTGTAAAAAATGGCGAACTATCAAGTTACCGGGGCTCTGCTTAGTTTACCTTTCGTCCATGGAAGCAGGTTGATGCACCGGACAACGAACGTATTCGTGATTTCCGCCGACTCGCCATCCCCCGAGGCGGCGCGCAACTGAAGACGCGGACGTCCCGACGCCGTCCCTGAAACGAGAGTCAATTTATATGACAACGCCCGTGTATCCTCTACTGGAGTCGACTGAGACGGTCAGCATATGTATGTACATACATACATATGTAGAGATCGAGGAACGCATGATAAAATATTATACATGTTACGTATTAAATGAAAACCCAAAAATTGTATATATCGCATCAATCTTTTTTCTACGTGAAATTAAAAGAATAATTTTTGAAACAATTTTTTTTGGAGAATTCGACACAAAACGAGGATAACAGTGTGACGTAATGATGGTCAGAAAAAATTGGTATATTTTCATACGACTTTATATGCTTCCAGGCTCAACTGATTGTAAGCTGTACTACCAAAATTTAATTTTCTAAGTAAACATACGTTGGGACTGGGGCGAGTTATGCAAACGATACAAAGGTATTGATGTATAAAGATTTTTGTTTAAACCAAATTCGCGATGCTGTATCAAAAATTCGTATATGTAAAATGTGAATTTGCATATAGGAAAGTTAAGTACTTTTTTAATATTTACATATATTCAATTATGTGCCTGCAGTAATATTCAATCTTAAGTAACAGTGTTGAATCTCAAAAGAATTTGAATTATATGTAATATCACTGATTACATTTTTTTTTCTTCAGTACTAATGATCGTTTCGATAAGGTCGATTAGGATTTTCAACTCGATTAAAACTCGTTAATGGATTCTCAATGTAATTTTACTTATGGAGGTTGACCGATCGCCGATATAAAAGTTAGCAACTTCCACCTATTCCCATGCGAGACGTACCTAGAGGATGGCTGCTGTTGATTAGATGATTCGAGAAGAGAAGTTTCTGGATTATCCTTAGGGCCGCTCTCAAGACTGGCTTGTCGTCTAGATTCAATATTTTCAATCCTATCTCTCTGATCCTGGCAACTCTTTAGGAAGGTCTCCCTGTCATTTTCGACTCCTTCGTCCCGTGAATTTCTATGCCGATCCTGGTGACGGTTCGAAGAAGCCAGAGGCAAATTGTCTGCACTGCGAACCTTGCGGCAAAGTCGCGAAGTGGATCCGTGCCGTCTCAAGAATTCCTTAAAAATTGAAAAATATTTTATATTAAAAAAATATATTTCATAAGACAAATCCATTCCAGATTCAACACGAGGATATTGAAACAGCAAAGTACCATGTCTTAAGACCGCTTTCGTTGAAGCGTATAATCCATACGAAGTATCAGACTATGGAAATTTTTAAATAAAAAAAAAATTCTCATATCTTTGAAATACCAAGGAATTGTAAAAACAAAATTACGCTACTCCGTTTTTTTTTTCTGTACTTTAGGGCTCCGCGTGCCGCTATCGATCGTTATGTTTCGTTTCTTATTTCCTTGAACTTTGACATTCGCGGTACTTCTTCCGTGCCGCATTACTAATTTAAATAATCGCAGACCCAACGTCAAATTCACCGCCGCTGCCGAATTTGTGTAATACGAAATGTGAATTTGAAAGTGAAATTAATTGAGTTGGTTTAACACGATATAACGTACATAAGAATGCATTTACATATTATATAGATAGAAAGTATTGATAAGCTGGTACAAATTTTGACAGATTTATGAACACAATTAAATAACCAACCTTTCTTACAACTTCATTAATTTACCTGTGAAAGGAAACCTGCGACATCAATGGCACTGTTGACACGTGGTCTGTTGGGTCTATGCCAACTTATTCCTCCACCGCTGTCCAAGGAATCCACATGATGATTCGACCAGTGCAGATGCTGAAAAATTCCCATTTATTCACGTACACAAAAATATGCTTGTGCGAATATGCGTGTAAGATTCGAATTTCCCGCGGTCAGCGCACATTGGGAACTCGTTAAGCTTTTTATTTTCCTTTTGATATCCTCCCTTTTTTTTCCATATCCGAATCCTCGAAAAAAATGGTTCGATCGTTAAGAACAAATCAGCAACTCAGCACGTCAACCCAGAAAAGATAAGTACAGTGAATTAGGATTTTTTTTCGATTTCTGTTCTTTTTCCAACAAAAAATTTTCGTTTTTCTTTTCGATCTCATGATATTTATTTTTCAACGTCAACGTCAAGACAACGTCAAAACCTTCGTCAGGCTTATCAAAAGTGAGTGCAGGGTGTGTCAATGGCTACTTTTAAATTATCCCCCATTCCTTGCCATGCATTACGCATAAAGGTAAAAATCTAGTTGCGAATATCCCCCATTGTAATTTTTTTTCTGTACTCTCTTGTCAGGTATTACGTGCTGAGAGTGAAGCGTGCGTGATCTTATTTGCAACTTGTTTCTACTTAGTTGTTATTACGCTAATACGATTACACTTGCTGGTACTCGCTAATGCGATTAGATCAAAATTTTTGAGGTTGTTGTTATCATTATTTTTCTTAGTCCATTTTCATCCCTTAACCACAATCATTTGTGTAGAAGCGTTTGAAGGATCGAGTATCTCAAAAGAACTGTTTTTTACTTTTTTTTTTACAAAATTTACTTTTTTTCAAAGTTATTTTTTTCTTTAAAATTTTCAATTTTTTTTTGAAAATATTCTCGACTCTTTTTCAACCTCCAAACGCTCGCAGCTGATGAGAACAACTATGCGTACTGTGCGATACGTGATTTCACAGTTCACTGATAACAGGTAGACATATGCGTGAGAAACAAAAGCACTTCTTTCGTAATTATTACAGTTTTTGTGCAATTTTGGTGCGCGATTGACGCAGCGTGAAAATGTGTCTCTTGCCAGAAAACTATGTGCGAATAGCGTGTGGATGGTTGAGATTATTTTTTAAGAAAAAAAAAAAAAAAAATATAAGAAAAAAGATGTATAATTAAATTTTCAAAAACGGGTGTCACGTGAATTCATCTGTTCGGCTCACCCTTCTACCGTTCTTAACTCAGGAGTAGACCGTGTGGGGCGATTGACTGGGACGTCTGAGGCAATGCTTTTCAAATGGAGAACAAAGTGGTACGACCATTCCCGGGATAAAAAGAGGCAGTGAAGTCCGTTTATAAGGACATTCAAGGGACAGGGAAATGACGTCGCACTAAACGGATGATGTAGTAAAGAAAATGAAAATCCCATACGAATCTGTACGAGAACCAAATTCACTGGGGCAAGTAGGATGCGATGTGCGGCCGATCGTCAAAAGCGGAGTCGTAATAAATGGACTTCACTCTATTCGAACTTTGATTCTGGTCGAAAAGTCCGCAGTGGCGAAAATCGAAGCGGCTAAAATCGAGATTCTGCTGTAATAAAGAATGACGCGAATACAGCGCGTGCGTCTATTGGATTAAATGTTCGATAAGGTGGTCCAGAGGTAACGAAAGACCTCTTACGCCGTATCCATAAAGACAACAGGATCTAGGCGTTTTTATCCTCCGATAGGATTCTTCTAGCTTCATCGTAATTCTCGGTAACCTTAACTTTTCAAAAATCAAATTTTTCCTATACTAATTCCGACTATACATAAAGACTAACTATTTTTAAAAAAGTAAATGAGACGTTTTTTTTTTAATTTTTCAATTGCATCCAAACGCGACTTAATAATTATAGAGGAACATCCCGTAGCAAAATTTTTTAAAGTATTTCAACCAAAGATTAATTCAATGGAAATCAATTTTTAAAAAAGCCATTACTACCTTCGGCAAAACATAATTTTGTAAGGGATGAAACACCTTTTTCAATTTCAATTCAATTATAATATTTAAGAAATTTAAAGCTGGTATTAAGCCTATTTATATATCTCATAACTTTTTTTTTTTAATTTGATCCAAGTTATCGTAATGTACTAAATACGCGATAACACGTTTATGCAGCATTTGACCTTAAGAAAAATATGCTCGTACGTCAAATTGCATTAGAAAATTGTTTCCGACCTAGAATCCATGTGAAATTTCTTTGCACGTCCTTCGTAAATATAAAAATAGCATACCCTATGCGTACACTAATATGATCAGTAATTTCATTACATATCAGCAATATTATTAAAAAATATAAATCATTCGGTACAAGACTCAATGTCACCTAAGCATATGTACATACGCATACCCACTCGGTAAACAAAGTGCGAACGATTAGACAGGAAAAAAAATGTAATTGAAAAAAAAAAAAAAAAGAAACGAAACCATAAAAAAGTCGCAAGTGTATATTATCCACAAACGTGAAAAACTTTCGTCTCGAATGCGATGGTGTACAATTGATTAGCATTAATATTATTATTATATTTCGAAAACTGAAAATAATTCCAAAACTATCGTTTCATACTCCATTGCTTTCATTATCCCTCAATTGCACTTTTGACATCGGCAGCACGAAAAACGTTCAACGCGATACAGTGCCAGTCAAAAGTATTTTGCCATCCATAAAGATTACGAAATTTCGAGATAAAATGACAAACGGATTGCAAAATCATTTTTTTTTCTTGTTTACGGGTTGACGAAATACTTTTGATCGTTAGTGTACTTCAGAGCTCACAAAGGCATCGATAAAGAAACATTTTTATAATTGCATCCCGTTGATTGATTATCAATGATTTAGCGATAATATGATTATATTTTAATCCGATTTCAAAAGGCAATGTACATGGTTGCGTAAAGATATCTCGGTGAACACATATGCATTTTATATACGTATATACAGGTATTATGCAATAAATACGGTGGACATAGATTTTGGAAGATATGAAAATTCACGATCGAATTGAAATACCGATGGTCACGCGATGTCAGCCCTGTGAAGAAGAGCAAATTGGCAGCCGCAATCCCGAGGATCCCGAGCTCTCCTCGGATACTGGAAGCACTGCTCCAAGACGCAGCATCCCCCTCCCCCGCACTGCATCACCATATCCGACATTGAAGTTATTATCTTTTATTCATCATTCACCATGGTCATCATCATCATCGCCATCGATCATTACAGTGGATGAGAGTCGATCATACCAGCAATCGCGAATAGATTGGATAGATCCAAAAAAATATCGAATAATATTAAATTAATTAATCAAGTTGAATATATCAGTTGACGTTAGATTAATATAAATTATGGATACGTTAAAAACAAGTTTTATCAAAATTATAGCTGATTGGGATTAAACTAATGAAATTATACTTGGATCGTGTCGAGAAAATTTTGAAGATTATAACAGTCGAAGAGCTTTTTTTTGGACTTTGCATTGAGGGATTTGTTCAATGTAATTAGCTGAACGTCTAACTGCTAGTGCGATTCAGCCATTTATCGATCGAGCGCTGCCATTTTCAAGCTTTTACTGTTTTTTGAAAAAAAAAGCTTAAGCAACTCTTTTTAAGTCTTTCATAGCTAGGGTGTATCAAAAGCGATGTTAGATAGTGCTTATAAACTTAACTTGTCTCTATGACAGTCACTATGGTTTCATTCTAAATATCAACTGCAAATGTTCAAAACGTGAATAGTGATAAAGAGTGAAAATCAAAATTGCTATTGGTTGTCGTGTTAGATTTTGTAGTAAAAAAATACCATTGAAAAAATATCTTTCAGAAAAACCCATTCGATGTTGATATCCGCGTATGCACAAGTTTTTGATAAAACTGTACTATGATACTTATCAACATTACAGTGATATAAAAAGAACATATAAAAACGTATAAATGAATAAAATGTTTAGTTTCAAAAATGAAGGATCATTATTCAAAACAATGATGTCCCCACGAAATGATAGTACGAGAGAACGTTAAATCATATAGCAGCGTGGATAAATATGAAAAAGAAAAATGTATTCTGAGTTATTCGCAAAAGTTGCGCGACTCGTAAATCTTTCGTGGAAACGTGCCCAGAGCGACGTTGAATATTCTCGACGCTTTGCGTCCCTTTCATTGCGAAGGGAAGCACATTCGCGTCAACGACTGTTTCGAGAGCCAAACAACAATGAGAGGTATCAACGGCAGCAGAGACCTTTATGGATGCGGGATAACCTTTGACCTACTAAATTTTAGTTTCCATTAATTTTCTTTCTCCCCGCTCGCTGCAAAGCCTTTCACAGAGATCCATCCCCTTTATGTAGGAACGATGAGATACGCAAGGGTGTCCAATCTTTTTACATTTTTCTATGGAATATTTTAATCTCCCCTGATGCTTCTCATCGGCAAATAACATATGTAATATACAATATGTAATTAACGCGGCATTAGTCAGCTGCTCTTTTCAAACAACATTAATCACGCGGGTCAATTAAGTACCCCAGATCGAATTTTTCTGCCCTAATTCCTAAGCAACCATAGATATGTTTTTTTTTAATACAGCGTCAACAAAGTCACTACCCCTTGGGCAATGCATTAGCCAATGACGTATATGCGCTTTGCTACACACATGATTATAAGCAGTATAGATACTTTGGTGGGATTAAAAAATAAGACACTGGGGTATTTTATTACCCCAGGCTAACTAGCCACGGGTCAAGCATATCACTGCAATTGCACTCCCTTAGTATTGCTGTCAGTTAGATTAAAGAATCCAGTACAACAAAAATTGTACAGTTGACTTTGTGCTTAATTTTACATTTCCGCTTTTACACCTGTCAACGCGATGACTTTCCCGGCCCAGGATTGACGTTGGCAGGTTGTTACTGACTGAGAAACTTGGCACGTTCTAATATAGTATTCACAAAAATTGATAATCAACCGTCTGAATATTTGACGCGATAAATCCCAAGGAACAGTCAAAGACTTATTCTTGTTTATTCAAGTTGCCAGTACCTGACCTGTACCTGACCTGTACCTGGCACAACACGTCAAATCAGAGTCTTGACGTCCGATCAATATTGAACTTACCTGAGAACAGGCATGCTGCGAAGAATGTTGCGTACAGGCAGCATTCGCTGCTGCACAGACACCCGTTCCAGGAACTTTCAACTGTTCCTTGTAGTCGGGCTGATACGGCAGCAGCATTCGTATCTTTCCCCAGCGATTGAAGAACAGTGCTATCGCGCCTGCCCATACGATCAGCACTAAAACAACGATGCCAACCTCCACGCCACGAATCTGCGAATAAATACGCGAACAAGCGTTTCTCATTAGCAGAGACAAAGAAAGGAACGGACGGTCGATGAGTGAGATAATTTGCTTATGGTTACGTTACACGAGACCTTTCTGTCGCGGTATCTAGTTCGCAAGAGCTAATAGAAAATGTGGATTCAACATAACCGCAATAATACAGGGGAACAACTTTGCAAGGTGCAAATAAAAGGAGTGTATTTTTAGGATCAGGATATAAGTGCAGTACGCGTCTCATGTACCTTTTCTTCAATTTTCTAGACAAAATTAAGGACCCTGAAGCTGCTTAAAATTTGTGTTTCTTAATTAATGAAAATATATGATTACACCGAAACACAAGTGTATACTCTCTGCGGATCAGCATGCATGTAGTGAATGTACATGGGATCATGGTTATGACGTTGAGAAGTAGAGTCTAATTAAGCTACCGTAATATCTAGTACATAATGTATACCGTATCGTACTATGTTGTATTTATATATACAGGGTGAGTTATCCTAGTTTTCGAATCTGGGAGGAGCCTTCGTATGTATTAGGTGCGCTATTCCCTAATCAGATCATCCCCCGCTCTCCGGTTAAGGTGAAATTGATACGGCAATCTAAATAGCTCTCTAAGCAAATCATCGATAAGAAGTTATAGTCGGTTGTTGATAAAGAACCGAGTGAACTATTCGATTAGGGATCTGTCGTGCGGATCGGTACCGTGACAAGTTTATAATCCGATATCAAAAAGACCTTGCCTGTAGATGCGGCGGGTAATCTGTTTAGATTACAGCGCGCCTACTATATACGGGAGGCTCATCCCAGATTCGAAGTCTAGTATAACTTAGCCTGTATATACGTATATACATATAGTATATTCAAGATAAAACGACAGTCGATGTTTCGCGTGATATATACTTATATGTATTAATCGGAGACGTCATTTAATTCTCATTGATTCTGATTCTACCAAATACGTCACTCAGTCATTATTATCCAACATCTGTAATCCGATCGCGACTCTCGGCCTATTGTGATATCTACTTTATTTACGTTGGATTTATTAAGTTACTCTAACGCAATTACATCGGCGAAGCAAACATAATAGACAACCGGTTGGGCACCGCATTATTGCATTCTGTTCGGTCGACTTATCGGATTTTCCAATATTTCTTGATCTACGGATATATATAACTAGGCAGGAAATTAGTTTTTTATCGACATCTTGATATTCAGTCATTTCATTAAATATCGTCAAATCTCGTTCACGGGGTTTCGCTTTTCGAAATTTCAACTGGACGGAGTTCAATTTCGACATCCTAAGTCGCTATCCAGTCTAAGTACTTGAGTCTCTCAAAGTTTCTGAGCATTCAGCAGGAAGTTCGTTCTATGGATTTATTGTTGAGACTCCGAAGTAAGTCAAGAATTCACCATCGCCCATTTGGTTATCAACAAAAGTTTTAAAACCTTTCTAGCAGCTCTCTGTATTTTCCCACTGGCGAATGACAGCTGTGAAAGCTTTATGCGTACGAAGGACGCGAAAGCAGACGAAAGTTTCAACTAAAATATTTATTCTCATTCTAATATCATAATCGTTGACGGTCTGACGCAATAATAATAATAAAATTACAAAAAACCAGTTACCACGCGACAGTGCGTGGAACTTAATTAATAGTTCATTCATTTTAAGAATCAAAAGGAGGAACGTATGGATTAACAAAACGAGGCAGATTTTTAAATGAATGATCAAGGGGTGCTTTGAGGCGAATGACATATTGGCCAGTTGAAGGAGAAAAAGTGTTGTACTCACTTGAATATATGGTTGGGGTTGTTGAGCCGAGGGTAGCGGTGGTGGTTGGGGATGTAAAGGATTTTCTGTTGGTGAACCATGCTGGGGTGAAGTTCGTGGCGATTCTGAACTTATTTCGACTGAAATTTTTTAATCGTGAATTTATATCGATACACCCTGAGGAATTATATTGCTTTAACTGAAGTTCACATTGAATACCGCCTCTGAGCATATTCACATATTCACATTGAAATATGGAAACACACCCAGTCGCTGACAATGAATACTTTATTATTTCGTCATTTATTAACATAAGCCACACAGCCATAACCAAATTTCATACTGCACAAGGCAAGTGTGCACTCGCTATTACCATTCTCATAAGTCTACTTTGAAAACACGCCCAAGTGACGATAAAGTATGACGATAAAATTTGAGTTGTTTTTCGTACAAAGAAATAATACAATTATTCAAGTGACTTGGTTTTATCGTAATAATTACAATACTTGAAATCAATTATTTATCGAATAATTATAGAAAATTGAACTGTAAAGTACTTTGTGCGACGTAACTTTTAGGTTATAATTCAAAGTTTCTCTCGTGTACTTGCAGCGCCAATCTGATATTTCTTTTATATCGTGTAAAGGGTTAAGGCATATTTACCAAGGGTACGGAAGAAGATGGGACGGCTTCGTAGTTTCTTGCCAGCTCTGACTGCCGTCACGGCTAATTGGTACTGTGTGTTCGCCCTAAGCCCGCTCAGAGTGACCGCTTCACTGTTTCCTGCGACCACCGCCACCACCCTGTAACTAACCGCTTTAACATTGTCATTTCCATTTTGACGGGAAACAAGGGACGATTCGAATACTTTTTTTTTTAGCTCGTTTAAACTTGACACAGTATATTAACCCCTTTGAAGAAGCATGCAATCTTCATCAGTCTACTATTAAAATGATTTACACGGCTCAATATGTTCTGTCGGTACATTATTTTATACGTGTGAAATGTCGGTCTATACTGAATTTGAATGAATATCAACAAAATTGACGAACAAATGATACTTTATCGAAAGAATCATCAGAATCAACAGTAAAATATATTTTATAATTAATACCGCGAACCGCGGATATCTTTAACTGATGTAATTAAATTTTAGGGTCAACGAGGGTAAGCATAGATTTTATTCGAGATATTGATGATCCTTTTACGATACGGTAAATATTGCATGTTGGTACTCTGAAAAGGGTAATAATGAGATCTATCGATTGGAATTCGAAAATTGATTGAAAGTCATTGCCAGTTACTTATTCCAATAAAACTTTCTAGCAAAGTTAAAAATTTTTATTTCGTAAAAAAAAGGATTCCAAATTTTTTTATCGTCATAACTTTAGATTACATTGACAAGTATTTGTATTACAGTCATTAAGTTTTTCGTCATGTCACACACGTCACTGTTAACTATCATTGTCCAAAATTCTTCATGCTGGGCATTCAGGTATCGTTTCACTATTAATGGGTACAATTTTTTATGCAAGTACATATATATACTGGATGGTGATATCCAATAATGGTCAATAATAATAATAATGACATAATTTTGCATCCTCGTATGATTTAATGTTGAAACATTACATTGAATTATGATTTCACATTCAATGATTTCACATTCAACATCAATCGCACTACTTTTTCAACTATCAAATTAACGATGATTCATATCTCAACGACAATACCCATCCTTACATATTGAATTACATGATAAATCCTAAACAAGCTATATTCTCAGGCACGCTTGTACACTGATAAAACAATATTAAAAAGAAAAAGAGAAACATTCCACTCACGTACAATCTGTTTTAAAATGTTGATTGATGTTTGCCAATGCATTAGTTACTTTCAATTAATTCTTATTTAATTGAAATCAATAAAATATCAATTAACATTAAACGAATTATACAGCATTGTATACATGAAACGAGTATTAAGTTCTTTAAAAGATTTTCCAAAATGAATCAAAAAAATTTTTAACCCATATAAGCTATACCGCTTATCAAAAGTGATTCGATGTTCCTTGATTAAATATTAGAAAAGACAAGTTTATCGCAATTGACTCAGTTGTCTCTTCATATTTTGTGATCTTGATAGAGCTGACTAATCGCTCAGAATAAATAATCCGATTGATGTCACGGAAGGAAGAACTTGCTTGTTCTGCGTCCTGCCTGTTACAAGATCAGAATGCAGATCTAAGATCGTAAACAACGATGGAACCTTCTCTGGCGATGATACCTCAACATTTGTTTACCATATCGATCGAGACTAGAGTCTCTGCATTTAGAGTCGCCATCTGTATTTCTTATAATCAACTAGTAGGTATATACTTTTTAGCGTTGATAGACGTTAAATATATTCAACGATATATATATATACGTATTAAAAAGTTTATCGCATAACAAAAAATTATTACTCAACATCGTTATGGTCAATTTCAAATTTTCCAAAAAAATCCTTTTGACATTTTTCCATTAAAATTAATTTCACGACTTGACATACCACATTTTAGAGTCCCGTTAACGAGTAATGATGGTGACAAAGAATTCAACATCTTAGAGTAATCATGAATATTATGATGTTAGAGATGTAAATGTGCGGCCGTATTAAAGAGTGTATATTATATATATATATACATATACACATATATTGGTTGAATACTCGGGTTTTGAGTCATTGCAGGCTGAACGAAATGAAATGACTAATTATTAATTTTCCCGAGTAATTATAAAATACCCCGAGTATCCAGCCGATATATATATATATATATATATATATATTCAGTCTTTAACATGGCCGCGCATTGACGACATGTTTAACATCAAAAAATCATGAAGCAATCGAAGCTCGTTATTTCTCTTAACTAAATAATCAAGAATGTCGGGGAAGGGATTGATCTACTGTTAAAACTGCTATCTAGATGTTAAATTCATAAAAAATCAAAAATACCTGTCGGTATGGTTCCTGCGCCGCAAAGGAAGCAAAATTAATAGTTAATATAAAGATTCCTTCACTGTAGATTCTCACTGCAAGAATCATCTTTTTCCTTGTCCCGTCATATACATATATATGGACACTCTATCCTGCACCTGCTGCTCGTTATTCGTCATTATTTATTGGCCGTCAAACGGCCGAAAAACTTGGAGACTATAAATTGGCAGCCCTGAATTCCCCATGAATAATTTTCATCGTTCTCGCACCAGACTCAGGTTTTCCTCGAGCTATATTAAATTTCTTTTTTTATCTTGATTTAACCTTACTGCAAGTCAAGTCTGTTTCATCGTTAACCGGGTAACCTGTATCCGTTATCGAAAGCTTAGTAACGCACCTGGCATCTGTCGGCTTGTACATCACGTCGTATTTTTCAATTTGATCGACCTGACTGGTGCTCCAGGAGACGCGAACCGACGTGGAAGTCAGGAACATCACTGTTATATTTTCCGGAACGCCAGGTACGCCTGTTATCGAGCCTGTAAAAATAATTTCATTCAAATACAATTATCAATTATCAGTCAAATAAATTCATCATCGCTATCATCCTATATCTGTCAATTATTAATCATTACCATCGCGATCGCGCAGTGCTTTAAAGTAATCCATCAGGTACATTAAAATTTTTTATTTTAACAACCTCAGTGCTGAATCCTCTTAAAATATTAATATTACGGTTATTAAAATAAAATAATTAATAATCAATGGGTGATGATATATAATTTTTCATCTTTATTCCTTATAGCCATTTCATCATCATGTATCCTCGGCTCGAAACGAACGACCGCTCGACAATTTTACATGGAAATTAATCGGGGGGATAATTGAGATCGATTAACGATTATCATCTTTACGACCTCGTTAGCTACACGCTACTTAGTTCACAAGATACATACAGTGTTGCGTGTCCAGTGCACTTGTTAATTCGTTTTTTTTTTTCACTTAAGAAACATAATTTAAATTTCAACTTATGTGTGTCTTTTTTTTTCTTTAAGACAGAGCCCGTCAGGGTATATTCATATGTATATAGGGCTAGTATGTATATGAGAAGAAAGGAGAAAAAGACCATTTTTATATTTTAATATTTAATCAAACACGAGGATTCGCTGGGAATGTTTATTACCCGATTCTTTTGACGTTTAATACGTCACAAATTTTTATTGACAATACCTCCCCCTCTACCACTTCCTACGTCACGCGGTATCGTCATATGATTGTTCCGTTAAATTGTCTCCTTTTTGAATATAAATTTATTGCTATTACGCTTTGCTTCTCGATTTTTATTACTATTTTTAGTATTCTCGCGTAAGGGCTGGACATCGCAAATTTTAAATTGAAATTCACGGTTGCGTGCCGTCGGGACCAGGGAAAAGATAAATTTATGAGATGATCGTGCTGCTCTTTTTTTTTACCTATGCTTCAACTACTTTTCCTCGTTATATTTTAAAGTTGGGAAAATCTTTTTTCACCCATAACATATATCCACGTTAACCTGTATTTATACACGGAAGATGAAGGATTTTATGCAAAAAGAACGATCATTCGTATTGTCACGATCGAGACAAATGGATATAGGAACGTTTATTTACCTTGAAATATTTCGGGCGAAAAAATAAAAAAAAAAAATAAAAATAATATTCGTATCTCAAATCATACAAACTACGGTCCCCCACTCACTTCACGTGTTATCTTTTTATATTTTTTCGAGATACGACGCAGTCCGCGATATCCATCGTCGTTACGTGACACGCGAAAAATGATTAAAGTCCGTAATAGAATTAGGTTAAATCGAGTAACCCGTGTCCCTTGGTGGGATAAGCGAAAAATCAAGAAAAACGTTGATAAAATAAACTCACCCACGAGACCAGCTCCTTGAAGGAATAGTATAGTGGCCCAAAGGACCATGCCGCCAGGATGACGGACCAGGAATGGACCGCGTATCCTTCCGCACACGTTTCCTCCACTTCCGTTTCTTCTCGAATTGCGCTGGCGGATGCAATCCCCTTTGAAGCTTCCTTGAACATCCACCTTTCTCTTGGTCTAGGTATCCTCGGCTCCCCGGTCCACGGCCATTTTGTTTTTTTCAAGCAAAATATTTTTTTTTAATTAATCAATACTTTTTTCAGGCCATGTTGATCGTCGATGAGTGTAGAAGAACGACTGGAAAAATATATGAAAAAAATATTATTATTATTTTTTATAAGGATAAGTCATTATTATTGTTATTATTTTCATTTTAGAAATTAGTTCAACCTATACGTGTACACGGGACTGGCTATACCTTTTTCGTGTTTTCTTTCAACCGAAATTTTACTACTACTACTTCTCCTCTTTCGCTTCACTCAGACGCCGTACCGAGTCAGCAGCTTCGTGCCAACGAAAATACTAACAGAACCCACAGGCCCTGTTGCCGTGCTTGTAGTAACAAACGAAGCGCACGGAGCTTACGTGGCCTTTTTATACTAGGTATATGCTAAAAGCACACGTCAGCAAGCCACAGTATAAACCTACTAGGTTTACCATGGTAAACTATTTAGAGTGAAAAATTCCCTCGTTCCAAGAATGTGCCGGCTCAATGGCAGATGCTGTCATTATTTGCAGCTGCGGCCAAGAAATCTTGACGCGGCACTCTTAAATTTTGAGGTTAGCGAGAAACAGGGGATGAGATGGATTATTTGCTTTAGCTGTGATTCTTAATCAAGACGTTTGAAAAAATGTTGTAGGATGTATTCAATGTGGAGTTTAAATTGAAATTTGAAGAAATCGTAAAATTTTTTTTTTAACGAAGGTAGCAGAAATATTGGTATTTACTGATTATTCATTTTTTTGAAAATTAAAAAAAATTTTTTTTATATAATTAAACTCATGTTCAGGAATATAAATATTGAATGTAAAATTGGAACAAAGAGTAAACCCTATGTAGACATTAGCTATGCCAAGATGTAAGTATAACGTGGATGAACAGATTTTTTGCAAGACAGACGACACTGCACGTTATGAATATGTATAGAAAAATTTTGCTTGCCCCTAATTTTCAAAATTTTCCTTATTCGCGTTAATTAGGATTGTTTCTTTTTAATGAGATATTTACACGAATAAAGCAGAATCAAGTTACGATATTAACGTGAAGTAAGATTTTTTTTTCAGCAAAACCTTGAATTCCAATTAAAAAAAGACTTTCAGTGAAAGCAACAAATAAAATTTCATATATTCACAAATTTTACTCAAGTATCAAATAATCTTAAATACATCGATCACGTTACGCAAGCACGTAACTTCTGTGCCTTGTATTTCAATAAAATCGTGTTTCCGATAACATTTTTCAAATTTACATACGCAAACCGCGATTCCTTACTTTGAATTGATCCATTTTTTATTTCCCCAATATTTGACATAATCACACTAATCCGCCTTAAGTCTAAACATTCTGAAAGCTGTGTAACAAAATGTTTTAAACGGACGACGATTTTTCAAAAAAACCAACAAAACTTGACACAGTACCCGTTTAAAAATTTATACAGTTCAGCTTGAACTGTAAAGTGTGCGTTACTTAAAACAAAGTCTACTTGGCCTACTTGGAGTTAAGTAGACGCCAGCCTTTTCTTTGTCTTTCGCGCTTCGACCTATACACACAGCCATATCCATTTCAAACGGGATGATGGGTATTTTTATTTATCCTTTTTCTTCATCCTCTATTTTATATCTTAGAAACTTCATCAGTAAATTAATAGAGCCAAGTCTGATGATCAATTAGATTCAAAGGGGTGCCGTAATATCAGTGGATTAAAAAAAAAGTCAATTAAATCCGACTCGTGGGAGACGATCCGTTTTCAGATTAAAAAAAAAATATAACAATAATAAGACGTATAAAGCCTTAGTCATTCCCTGCCTCAAGCACTGACTACGTATCTCTTTACGGTTGCTAATGATCCACTTTGGTAAAGGAAAACAAAAAAAACCAAAAACCTTGTCTCATCAACGAATCACCTTAAAAAAATGTTACCTGCTATCCGTTGAAAGAGATATTCTATTTGTTTAGGTAAACGAGAACCCCAGATTCACAATGATCATTGTCAACCTAGCTTTGCATTTCCGAAAAGTGCCTGCTGCTAAATGGCAGTTCAAATTGTTAAATTATTCCGTACAATTTTATCCGGTGTCATTAGGATGTATTGTATGGAACACAGCATCCCAAGATCTCACGGACCGTGAAAGCGTATGAATTCTTTATTGGAAAGGGTCGCAAAGTCATTATCAAAAAGGAGAAGCCATTTGTTAAAAAAAAATTAGAGACTGCTTTTGTCACGAAAATTCATAATCGTGTATAATTGTATGTACATATAAATAATATGTGATGATTTACATATGTGTAATATTTCATTAAGACGTATAATCATAATGAGTAAAGATGTTGACGAGTACAACAATTTTTTGTAACGTTATTACGTGGACATTTTTTTTTTAACATTTGTATGTATATTTGTGATATATATACATATAATGTATCCATATAGCGATAAAAATCATAATGATAAATCAGCATACAAAGCCAACGATAACAGTATCAGCGGTAAACGCAATTATTTGGTTCGCTATTCGAACTGATTTTATTCCACATTTCAGATTTTTCCGTTTATAATACTCTACATCTACTAAATTTTACTAAGATTTTTAAAAGTTGTATTTTTTTACAACAAATCACATTCGGCGAACTTTACAAATTATTCGTGAAAGTAAAGACGAGCTTGATTCGTTAGCAGAAAATTTTAATTGGCCCACCGAAACTGCGTTTTTTCGAGTTTTCGCACCAATTCCTAATCTTGTTCGGTATTGATTTGATTAAAAATTGACTTCTCGAGTCTAACTATATTTCTCATCCGCTGCTGCAGGGACTAAACTCGATTCGACTTTAAATCAAATAAGGTTTGTAATACTCGTGTTGTATAAAAAATATCGTAGGTTTTCAAGTTTGATAAATTAACGATGAACAAGTTACGTAACAGTGAATTAATAATCAAGCAGTAAACACAGGATTAAAAGGATAATCGATATACTGTAGTGGTGAAAATATATTAGAATTTTGGAAATTTGTATAAATCATTCAGAAGTAACTCCTTTAACTTCGTATACTAAATGTGTATCATTTTTCGAAACTTTTCCAAAGTCTAATTTAAAATGATGACAAAGGACTATATTTAAATTCAGATTGTTACCATACGAAACGATGCAGATGCGGTAGAAAATATTTTGGCTCATACTCAAAATATCTGATCGTGCGCAATTCGAATTTTTCGAAAGATCATAACACAGTTACACATACCGTTACAATTTACGCGTATGACAATTTTGTATGAAATAATTATAACGCTAAAAGATCCATCACTCTAGTTAATAATTTTCAACTATAAATTACTGCACGAAAAAATTGATACGCATTTCTATAATTTAAACACGTTTGTATTCTAGAACTTTGTTTTACGTAAAATTAATATTTTCGTTAACTAAAATTAATATTGCATAGCATAAATCCATTTGCATACAAATCGTGTAGCGTGCGTAATTAAATTCCTTTGATAATTAATGCCTCTCGCTATTCACCACATATGCACATTCAATTCTCTGAAATTGATAACTGGATTTGGCCATGACGTTTAACTGGAAATCATAGCAACGTTCAATTTCCAAGGAGACCCCAATATGCATATATACGTTTGCCAAAGAGATACTTTGGGGACACGAAAAATTTCAACACGTTCACAATAGCAAGTTTTAAAAAACTACTACCTGGGGACATCACAAGATTGGAGTTCTGAGCTAATCTAACCTGACGGAAGATTTCAAAGCCCATCACAAATACTGGATGCCTAACATTGAAAAAATATAAACAAATTTGATGAGCTTCATGGTCCTCAAAACAGTCATTACGCTTAAAATTCTTTGAGGACGGTCCCCGAAACAGCCACTTGTCCTCAAAATAGCGACTTCGTAAATAAAATCGTCCCCAAAGTATCCCCTAGCAACAAATAAATATGTGTGTATAGTCGTAAATGAAAATTCATTAAAATTCAAAATATAAATTTTCAGTCAAAAAGCGTCTCGTTCCACTGTAAAATGGATTAATATAATCGTAAAGATTACGCCCTTAAAACTATATCAGACAGGTACGTCGTTAAACGATAAAAGCGAATGGCATCGTCAGCTTTTGTACCTCCAATGAATTTCCATCCGGAATTATGCTTTCGGACTTTAATCTCATTTACACCGATGGCCTTTAAGAAGGAGTCACGCGAAAAGGGCTGTGCAGATTTACGTAATTGTTAAAGCAAAAATGATCCTTAACCTTAACTCGTGATATCCGGATCGGATGGATTAGAAGAAACACCGTGTTTTCACGTGTTCATCATGACAGGTTTTTCTTTTCGTAAGTTTTATAACCTTTCCTATTGGACCATAATTTTTCTCCGTTGGTCAAAGTCTGGTATTTCGATTTCAATATAATTGAACCTAAAAAACAGCAATTGCTCAAAAGTTACATACGTCACATAACACGTGACTTGATATGTTTTTGCTATGCGATACAAGTCAGCTTTATATTTTCCCATAAGAATAAAAAGTATATCGAGTTCGTTTAATATATTTTAATAAGCTCAAAGTCATTTTTATCAGAAATTTCATCTTCGAATTATTCTAAAATCAAAACGATATTACAAAATCATACGCGGATGAATTAATTATGTTTATCGATTACGTAAAATATTATTGATATACAGTTTTGTATGTTCTACATATTTTTTGTAACACGAATGTTTTCGTACAAAGATAAGAATATAGGAAAGCGAGGGGACAAGCTAAATATCCAAGAAGTTACATTTTTTTTTCTTTTTTCCTAAAAGAACTTTTTTTTCTCTAAGGAAAGTATCGAGCAAGCAGTCCATAAGTGATTCCCTTCCGTATGTTCATGTTTATAGCTTCGAACTTTATGCGATACCCCGATATCCGATCTAATAGCGTCGGCGTATAAATTTATCCATATACTCACATAAGACAAAGACAGTCATATGGGGAACAATGGCCTAGAGAAGGAACGATAACAAAACGTGATATAAAAGATCCTGATCCCATCTATTATTTATCTGTCATACAAGCCCTCTCTAGAAATT